CATGGCCGCTGGGCCTGCGCGTCCAGAGCCTCTGCTCCGCAACGGGAGAGGCCACAACAGTGAGAGGCTGCGTACTGCAAAAAAAAAAAAAAAAAATCGCATAGATAAATGACGTAAATTCTAGAACTAGAACCCAACAGTTTCCCTTCTTCATCATCTTCCAATTTAATTCCAATTAAACTAAAACAAATGTATTAATTTTCTAAATTCTTCCAGGCAGAAGGGATCCACTCATTTAAAAGGACTTGGTATCTGTCATGGACTGAATTGTGTCTCTCCAAAATTCCTGTGTTGAAGCCCTAACCTCCCAATGTCATTGTATTTGGAGATAGGGCCTTTAAGGAGGTAATTAAGGTTAAATGAGGTCATAAAGATGGGACCCTAATCCAATAGGACTGGTGTCCTTATAGAAGAGGAACAGACACCAGAGAGATTTCTCTCTTGGTGGGTGCACATGCACAGAGAAAAGGACTCATGAGTAAACTGTGAGAAGGCAGCTGTCTGCAAGCAAGGAAGAGAGGTCTCACCAGAAAGGAACCCTACTGGCTCCTTGATCTTGGACTTCTAGCCTCCAGATCTTTGGGAAAATGAACTTCTGTTGTTTAAGCCACTCGGTCTGTGGTATTTTGTTATGGCAGCCCTAGCAGACTATGACACTGTCTAATGCAAGCATACAGGGTTATTAATTTTATATCAGAAAATCAGTACAAAACGTGTGGACACCAAGGGGGAAAAGTGGGCGTGGAGTGGTGGTGGTGGTGGGATGAATTGGGAGATTGGGATTGACATATATGCACTAATATGTATAAAATAGGTAACTAATAAGAAACTGCTGTATAAGAAAATAAATAAAATTAAATTTAAAAAAAAGAAAATTAGTACAGCACAAAAGGAAGAGTAGTCATTTTAACTTGGAAGAGTAATGAGTAAGAAAAACTTGAACAGAAAAGGTGATTCTTGTGGTAAGTTGTGAAAGATGAGTGGAAGTGATAGGGGCTGAACTGGAGTAGTGATACCATGTGGCATTCACACCATTTCATTTTCCTCCTGGACCACAGGAAAAATACGTTTCTCCTCCTCATAAATCTAGATATGTCATGTGATCAGTGCTGCCAAAGGGATGTGAGTGATAGTGATGTAAGACACTCCTAGACCTGACATTTGAAACAACGACTGCCATCCTCTCTCTCTCTCTCTCTCATGACTTATTGCTAATCTCAATGGACAGGATCCTATGGAGAACTCAGAAGTCGCCAGGAGACAGTGGAGCCTCAAGATGGAAAGAGCCAGGATGCCTTAGTCACAGCCTGATGGAGACCCTTTCCAGTTAGATGATCTTCAGTAGACTATGCACAAGGAGAATGCAGTATCATTGATTCTCAGGTACTTTTCCTCCTTACATTTTAATTTCTCTATAATAAGGATGCTTCTTAAAGTGATAAGGAAGCAAGGTACCATAATTTAACTGGGAGAATTCATTTTCTTCCTTGGCACTATACAAAACAATGCACCTTACAATAGATGGCAGCTTAGATTTGATAAAATGCACTAAATCTTTGTAGGTTAAGGCAATGAGATTGTGGGAATTTTATTATAGCAGGGAGCATTAATTACTCTATTAAAAGTAGAGTGGGTTCCCAGATAAAAAGAACTGTGTCAGCAGGCACCCAAGATTAAAAACAGTTTTGTTTGTTTTAGAAGCTGCAAGCAGTTAGGTCTGAGTGGAGTGTAAATTATGGAATGGCAAATGGCAGTTAACTACTACCAAGCAGAATGTGAGTGGAACTAGCAAATGCTCTGATAATTAATAATGCATTTCCTCTTGCTGGTGAACTGCATAATCAGAAATTTTTATTTGAATGATGCTTGTGGCTTTTTCAGTATGGTTTTAGTAATGGAAGCATACTTTAAGAAATATTTTGAGGGAGATAAGTCAAATAATTAGTATCAATGGGCTGCTATTTTACTTGGTCACTTATTAAGACTAGTTATATGGTATAAAATTATTTTACTGAAAATAAGGTTGGGACATATAAATATTTTATGTTAATATGGTTATTTTTGTATACTACATTTTCACATTGCAAAGTTTCTTCGTTAACTCTACATTTTTATCCTAAGATTTGCCTGGAAGAAATGTAATCTTAACAGATTTGTTGATCATTCCCTTAATACAATGTAGAACCTCAGCTGTATGCAAACTTCAGTACATAAACATCAGGAATCATAGATGCAATTCAAACTTTATCCCTCCAGGCCTTAAAAGGAGCTAATTTCACTGAAAGAAACAGCATATTTACACTTTTTTTAACCTGAGGCAACTGACCCTAACAAGGAGTTCATCATAAAATGGTAGAAGTATTGATATGCTTTCAACATCCTCTGAAAAAAATTTTTAAATGGAATTAACATGTACCTGCATAGACTGAGGAATTGTGCTTCTTTTATCACATTTGGGTTTCCCAAATGATTGTTTGCATCAATAAAAGCATGGTAAAGAGAGACTTAAAGGAGCCATTGAAACAAGAATAAGATATTCCCAGATTGATGATCTTGGGTTGATTCTATCAGTGTTCCCCCAGACTTTTGAATAATGACTTCCTTTTGTTCTCTATAGGTCTGATCCACAAAATGAAATTGTATTTTGTGTACTACATACATACCTTGGTTATGTTATCAAGTGAACAAAATAAAACTTGTCTGTGCTCTAATAACTATGCCAATCTCCAGTATAATCTAAGCTAGAGGGGTCCAAGCTGTGTCTAGAGACACAAAACAAGACAGATGGGGCTGATAGAGTCTGAGTAAGTAAGATATCAAATTCCCTGCTTTCCCAAATCAAACCAGATACATCCACTTTTATCTATTTTATGTGTTGGAACACACATGAGATTTCATTTAAAAAATTATTGTGTAAAAGCTTCTAAAGCCCATTTATATTCGAAATGTCAGTAAAGCACAATAATTAAACAGGAGGACAATGGAGTCAGTCTGCATTGAAAATCCTTGACCAGCACTTGCTAATTGCAGACACGAGAGTGAATTACACCAACTCTCTGGATCTGAATTCCCTGTAAAATGAGATTAATAATTATTTCTCATAGCATGGATTTGAGGATTAAATTAAATGATATAGGTAAAACTTTGCTACACCAAGTTAATGGCTGCCTGTCCATGACTAGACTACAATGAGATAAGAATCTTATGCCAAAATGTAATTCAGTTATATCACTAAGCACACTATTTCTTTCAGCCAGCTTTCTATTTTTCATGATATGACTTTCTCAAAGAAGGAAGCAGTGCATTGAGTTTCATTCTGGCTCAGCTCCTTATCTAACTGAGGATTGGCCTCTTGGGAGGAACTGAATTTTATTTATTTTCCAGCTTTATTGAGATATAATTGACATATAATTTGGTGTAAGTTTAAGATGTACAATGTGATGATTTGATACTTATATATTGAGAAATGATTATTACCACAGTAGGGTTAGTTAACACCTCCATCACTTCACATAATTGCCATTTCATTTTTTGGTGATAACATTAAAGATCTACTCTCTTAGCAATTTCCAAGTACTTAACTAATATAGTATTATTAACTATAGTTACCATGTTGTACATTACTGAATTTTTTGACTTTTTGTAGAGTCTTTATGCTTTTCTGTATATAAGATCATATCATATGCAAGCAGAGACAATTTTACTTCTTCCTTTCTGATCTGGATGCCTTTTATTTCTTTTTCTTGCCTAATACTCCAGCCAGGATTTCCAATAAGCGGTAACAGTGGGCACCCATGTCTTTTTCCTGATCATAGCAAGAAAGCTTTCAACCTTTCACCACTGAGTATGATGTTAGCTGTGGGCTTGTCATATACGGCCTTTATTATGTTATGTTCCTTCTATACCTGATTTGTTGAGAGTTTTTATTATGAAAGGATGTTGAATTTTGTCCAATACTTTATCTGCATCTATTGAGGTGATCATATGATTTTTATATTTCATTCTATTAATGTGATGCATCACATTTATTTATTTGCATAAGTTGAACCACCCTAATGCGTTTGGCAGAGACAGTTCTCTACCATGCAGCTCATTTTGGGTTTCTGGACATGTCAGCTGGTAATGTCCTTGGGCAGGTGGAGCTTACTAATGGGCTCTATTTGGGGGCAAGGCCATTGCCCAAGCTCTGAGGTGGGGTTGGGGTGGTGCCACTCGCTGAGAACAGTTGGATAGAACTGCTGGCTTTGTTCCCTGCCCAAGCGAGGCTGTAGGATGGGCTCCATGGTTGTCTGGGTTCTTTGGTTGGGCTTCCTAGATAATAGGGCTGGGTATACTCTTGTAGGTGGGACTATGAATTAGTTTCCCTGCACTCGGGGGGCAGCAGAACAGCCCTAAGACCTGCAGTGCTCTCTGTTCACTGACCTGAATCAAGCAAGAATATGCACTGAATTCCCCAGCCAGATGGGGACACCAGTTTTGTTCTGCAGATGGGGAAAGCCACTGGTAGTGCTCTCTGTTCAAGTAACACTGTAAGCAGGGCTGTTGAATGGGCTCTGCAGCTTCCAGTGTGCTCTGGTTAGGTTCCCTAGTCAGATGGGCTGAAGGCTGTATTCAGTCATAGGTGGGGCTACAAATTAGTTTCCCTGTCCTGGCAGAACTGACTCCAAAGTTAGCGAGGTTCTTTGCGGTCTTGACTCAACCCGACCAGTACCCCAAGTTCCTTAGCTGAATGGGGCCACTGGCTTTGCTCTGCAGAAGATCAGTTCTGTCTTCCAGACTCTCCACTTGAGTGTTGCTGGGCTACACAGCTTCCACATGTTCCGGACAGGATTTCTGGTCGGGCAGTGCTGGGAGCTACACTCAGCAGGGGTGGGGCTATGACACCTCCTCTGCCTGGGTGGGCAGGGGGCGAGGCAGATCAGGCTCCAGGGCCAGCAAGGCTCTTCCTTTGAGGACCCAAGTCAGGCATATCCGCACCCCTCCCCGTTCCTTGGTCAAACTGTCCCACTTGGCTCTGCAGATGAGCATAGCTGCTGGTTGGGACTACAACTGGGGTACTGTAGGTAGGAACTTGGTCTGCCCAGATCTAAGTGCTGGTTGTTGTGAGCTCCTCCCCGCTTCTTAGTCACAATCAGGTTCCCAGTGACCAAGCCCCGCATATTCCCCCACAATCCGCATGAAGCGAACAGAGTGGGGACTGACAAGAAGTGACCCACAGTGCTAAGAACTGTAGGCTAAGAACTGTAGGGGAGACCTCTGAGCCTACAGTTCTTGCTGACATCCAGCTTCCTTAGCCCTGTCGGTTGCTTCTTGGCAGTCCCCACTCTGCTCTTACCTCATGGGGATTGTGGGGGAATATGCGGGGCTTGGTCACTGGGCCAGCCTGCAGGAGGGACACTGAGGTCAGCATGTAACTGCTCGTCTCATCCTCTGATTGGTTCTGTCTTGGCCTCTGTGATACAGGGGGTGCTTTAGCTTCACCACTGTGTTCTAGGATTTTTTCAGTGGCGTCTTGTCCATGAATAGTTCTTAGTTGTTCTCGTTGGGAAGGGGAGCCAAGCTGGGAATGACCTATGTCACTCCAAGAATTTCTTGTTTAAAATTCATCTTAACTATTACATCCAGGCCCCAATGCAATAAATTCCAATCTACTTCTAAAATACCTTGAAGACACACTCACAGAAGATTTTTAAGAAAAGGTCATATCACTCTCAGAGGCTAAAACTCTCTAAAAACCTAGTGCCACAACCTGGGGGAAATTTCTAGTAACTCTCATGTGATGAAGCTGATCTCTGATCCCATAACCTGGAGGCTGATGCTGTTTCTTTCTACCACTGAACTGCTGAGAATAACGCTTTTGGAAGCCTTCTAAAATAGCCAACCCCAGGGACATCCCTGGTGGTCCAGTGATTAAGACTCTGTGCTTCCACTGCAGGGGGCATGGGCTCAATCCCTGGTCAGGGAACTAAGATCCCACATGGTGCGTGGTGCAGCCAAATAAATAATTTTTTTAATAAAATAAAATAGCCAACCCCAACATGTTTCATATGATTGCAATCCTTGGTCACAGGCCAAATCAAAAGTGATCCCTGTTATCTGTCTGCTTCTAGACTTGTATGCCCACTATACATTGTGCTTTTTCTCACTTGGATCTCCTTTTCGCTTTCTCTGTACCTCCAAGGCTTTTCTCTGAGCCCTCAGTTATGGAGAAAGGTACTTAACTCCTCAACCCCTCAACTGAATACACCACCCACTCACCTGCCTTTCATGAGTGAGCTACTTGAAAAACCAGCTGTTCTCTTCTCTCTTCTCATGGTGTACTGCTTATGCTCCTCTAACTAATGTATCTCAAAGAACAAAGTGTATTTGTTTGAAGACCACCTAATGTGTGTGTCATTATATCTTGTGATATTTCTGGTTCATTCTATTTTGGACACTGGTATTTAACAGTTAAGTAAATCCTTATTTTAATCAGTTCACTTGTGTTTCTAGGTCAAAATGAGTGAATAGCACAGTAAGAAATTATGGCGCCAAAATATTTTATATAAGATATGAGAATATTTGTCAGATATTCATGAAGATTCTAGGTTTACCTGTCTATCCAAATTAAACACAAGTTTTAATAATTAAACTAAATTCATGTAATTAACCTACTTATAAAATTATATAAAAAATTTAAAGATCTTACATTTAATCTTAATATGATAATTGTTGCCGACAGCATATGCTAAATTAAAATCCTTATAGGCATTAAAAGATTTTGTCAAAATAGCTTAAGTTATAAATTATAGCAAAGTCCAACCACACCAAAGTCCTCAATAAAATATAGACTTTAGATTTTAAAAAATATTGGGATTGAATTCATATTTCACTGTATATTAGATTTGTAAATTAAAACGCTTATACCCTCAATTTTGACAACAGTTTCCTCTAGTAACTTGTTGGAGATGATACCAATTTACCAGGTTATTATGAAAATTAAATGATATAAGACATGCAAGATACCTCATAGGGTGCCTGACCCAATATAGAAGAGCAAATTCAAATACAAAAATAGTGCAGCTGAATAAAAAGAGGCGGGAGGGAACTTCTAAAGTCTCTTTGAAATATGAAAGATGACCCTTCTCATAGTAACATATACTGTTAAACACTTACAGTTGACTTTGTGACTAACTGTAGTGGACACTGAAGTGCTGCCCAGATCCCCTTCAGAAAGGAAGGCTCAATTATCCCAGGTGCTGGAAGTACTGCTAATGATCGACAGCCCTCAAGCTACCAAGCCCTCTTCAGTGATTGCCTCAGCTGAAGTGAACAGCCTCAGCCAAGGTCATTCCACCATTCCACATGGCCCTCATCTTATGACTGATCTATGAGGGGGTAAAACGACTCATTCCTCTCATCCAAACTCAGGACTCCTCTGAAGATTCATCTCATCTACAGAACTCTCCATGAGCTGGCTGAGGCTTCCACTGATAGCACATTGCCGCTTAGCTTCTACCTCTGCCTAATCCCATTTCTGCATATTCCCTTCCACAGTGTTTATCCCAAGAATACTCCATAATGAACTTAATCTTCAAGTCAGAGTTAGCTTTCTGGGGAATTCAATCTGCTACTACAACACACACAACTTCTAGCTATTAACTCATCAAATTATTTTGAGGACCATTAATATCATCCCCAGAAGTAAACTGAGACATGGAGAAGTTAAGTAATTTGTCCAGTGTCATGAAACTACTACCCTGGATTTAAACCTACATTTCACACCAAATGTAGTGAACTAAGCCAGTGCTATATTCATTCTGTCTCTACTTCTCTCTCATTTAGAGCAATCGAATATCAGTGAGAATATAATAGTTAAGCTTCTCTTCTAGAGAAACCTTGTATTTCCAAGTGAGTAGTTGCGCCATAGAAAATTCCTTGGATTGAGTCTGTGGTTTGGCATAAACTAAATCAAAATACAATGTTTCTGTAAGATGAAACTATTATTGAATATGTTACATAGTTTATAAACTCATGATTAATATTTGCATTCTACTATATTAGGCCTTTCCCAGTTAGTATCAAAGTAAATCTTCAACTTTTTGAGGTTGAATTTGTTTTTAATAACCTTTTTCTCCAATTATGGTTTCTGGCCAAAATAAAATCCTTGAAGAATGTTAGAATATTACAATACAAGTTGCATTTACAGTAGTTACAAGAGGCATTAACAATCAGGTAAAAATTCTGTACTCATAAGTTTTGTGACAAATTTGTAAAGGATAGGATTCGGTTTATTTTTTAAAGTCTAAACTTTTGAGCTCTTTGCAAAGTGATATATAGACTACAAATTTCTTAACTTGTTTTCTTAGACGCTTTCTATATTCATTTCCTTTAGGCATTACAATAGTCTCCATTACCTGACCGGCTCATAATATACACACACACACACACACATATATATATATATATATATATATATTATTTTTTTTTTTTTGCAGTACGCAGGCCTCTCACTGTTGTGGCCCCTCCCGTTGCGGAGCACAGGCTCTGGACACGCAGGCTCAGCGGCCATGGCTCACGGGCCTAGCCGCTCCGCAACATGTGGGATCTTCCCAGACCCGGGCACGAACCCGTGTCCCCTGCATCGGCAAGCAGATTCTCAACCATTGCGCCACCAGGGAAGCCCGGCTCATAATATTTTTAAAACTAAACTAGTGTCGTAATTTTAAGCTGTTTTCCTGAATGACGTAGCTGACTCAGGCGCTCCTGGAAGTTTTGTTACCAAAAGACAATCAAGTTAAAAATGTTAGTTGATATTGTAGTATGTGCTTAATCACAGAGAAATATACAGTGTCTGAACCTAAAGGGGCACAGGTCCTGGCCACACAAACATGGTGAATTTAGTTCTTTAAATATTTGAGGTCAATGCTCACCATCAAAGCTTTCCTCCGTGACCTCATGGCAGGACTCTGCATTTGGGATATGGAATTCTCAGTCCAGAAAGTTTTACTATTTTTAGTCATTATATTAAAAGATGAGTGGGTTAATGGGTACTTACCCCTTTTGCCCTGTAAAGATTTCTGTTCTGAGAGTTTTAAATCTCACTGGGAGTAAAAACTGTGTTTTATTGTTTAACATTCCTCTCTACAGTTAACTCCCTGATGTGCATAGAATAGCTCCAATGTGCCAAGTGTTTAGTGTGCCTTACAAAAAAGAAATCTCTGAAATACAACAACCCTGTGAGTAAGTATTCTTCTTCTTCTTTTTTGCATGAGAAACCTGAGGCTCAAAGACGTTAATTTATATCACCTGTATGGTAAAGACATTTGATCACACCTGCCAACTTGAATTTATTACACTTTATCTTGATTTACCAAGAAAAACATGATATATATGCACTTGTGTAATGCATATGTTATCACATGTGCTGACATAAACACAAGTATTTTCTGTAGCATGTGAGCAAACACAAGCTAATCTTTGTAACCACTCCTGATATGTCCCTATGCCACATTCATAATGAACAATTTTTCCTTTCCTGAATTTTCCATACATTCTTGTACTTCCATGTTTTTGCAAATGCTACTTGCTAAGGCTTAAGGTGAGAAAAGAGTTTTCAGAAAAGGGGTTTTCAGATATAAAAGAACATAGTGAGGCTGACATAAAAGAAAAGCAGGAGAAATAGAGAATTTAGGACCTCATTTAAGACATTAAATTTTATTCCATGTGAAATTGGAAGTGACTGAAGAATTTAAGCCAAAAAAAAGAGATAATCCGATTTAAATTTTAAAATATCACTTTGATTATTAAGTGGAGAATGGATTGATGAAAGTTGGATCAAATTTAAAAGGGGGAGTAGGAAAGAGTTTTTTGGGGCATGTAAAAGTTCTCCAATAGAATTGATATTGGGTAGTAAAAAAGGATCACTATTGTAATACTCATAATTGTCAAGTTATAATAACACCATAAAGGGAAGAGCCCTGAATAAGAGAAAACTATGTTTTGAAAAATAAGTGTGGGTCAATTTTAGAATAAACCATGTAAATACCAGAGATATGTAGGAAAAAATCTTACATAAGTTCTGCTTTTTTCACTAAGATACCCCACTTAACATACTGAAACTTTTTCATAACTTATCAAGTGACTAAATTCTAGTGTTTCCCTTTATAAAACTAGGGCA